GATAGTCTTCTTTCATTTATAATATTAATAATCTTAGAACTACTGTACAGAGTTGGAAAGGACCCTATGGATAATTGAACTCCCAACCTCTGAATCTGCTGCCAGATACCTGAACCACTGAGCTATTGAGCTATGCTGCAATTAATGATGGTATACAGTGATGCCTCGACTTACGACCATAATCTGTTCCAGAAGATGGACGTAACTCAAAATGGTCTTAAGTCGAAGCACCATTTCCCATAGGAATGCATTCAAATGCAATTAATTCATTTCGGCTGAAGAAAAAATATCACACACACACCCCCAATCACTGCAAGACTCATTGGAAACACGATTAATCCCTTCTGGCCGAAGGGGGAAAAAAAGAAAGAAAAGCAATCAAGCATGCAAGACCCATTGGAAATGAAGAGAAAACAAATGGAGCAGATTGGAAATGCACAGAGAACAAAAGGGGGCAGGTTGGAAATGCAAAGAAAACAAAGGAAAAAGCAAGGGAAGCATGCAGGACTCATCTGAAATGGGGGGGAAAGCAACCAACCCCCCCAAGACCCATTGGAAATGGGGCAAACCCTCCAAAAGCAACCAAACCCCCAAGACCCATTGGGAATGGGGGGGAACCAAAAACAAAACCCCCAAGACCCATCACAGCAGAGAAACATAACCCCCAAGCTCAAAACCACACTGCAAAAACACCCAGAACTGTTTTTAAAAAGCAGAAAACAGCACCTTACCTTACCAGGCAGCCCAAAGCCCCCCTGCAAACACACACACACGCTTGCTCAGAAGCAGAAGGAGGCAGTCCCAAGTCTCCTCCGACACACACACACTAACTGCTGGGGCAAAAGAGCAACAAAGAAGCAGCCTCGTCGCCACCTACCGTTAGAAATTTGAATTTCCCGCCTTTTCCCCCTGCCTTTTTCTGTTCATAAGTGGAAGCTCTGGTCGCAAGTTGAAGTAAAATTTTGCGGCTGGAGCTGGTCGTAACTCGAAATGGTTGTAAGTAGGGATGTTCATAAGTCAAGGCACCACTGTAATAACCATACTTATTCTCAGATCTGGTTATGTGTCACATAGACCTCTGCAGTTGTCCCCAAGTTTGCTGGGCTGCTCAGAATTCTTGATAGTTGTCCTAGCTACCTAGGTTTCTGAACGCTGATGTCAGCCACATTAGGAGATGCACATTTGAAAACCATTGTTTTACAGCAGTTTCTACATGGGGATAGAAATATGAACTGCTTCAAAATGCTAGTCAGCATGTTGATAAAGGTGGATTGTGGGAAGTTATTTTAATGCGTACTATAGTACAAACAACAACTGGGGGCTCTCCAGATGTTATTAGGCTGCAGTTCCCATCAACACTTGCAAGCATAGCTTTTGATGAAGAATTATGGGAGTTCCATTCCAAGAACACCTTATTGTCTACCAAGTATTTTGAACATAATTCCAAGTAGTGGTCATGACCTACAAAGTCCTACTTGGCTTGGGACCAGGTTACTTGAAGGTCCATTGTCTCCTAAATAAATCTGCCTGAATTATGTAGAGGTCCTTCGCTTAACTCCTTCCAGTTTTAAAGTGGATCTGATGCGGGCATGAGAGGGCCTTTTTGGTGGCAGCCCACGGGGTTTAGAACTTTTCTGTTTCAGATATGAATTTGGCTCACCATTGCTTTCACCACCTTCCAAAGATATTTTTGTGTAATTAAATCTTTGGCCTGCCATGCAGATCTGTTCAGAGAAGATGAGACGCTCCTACTTTATTGCCTACTACTTTATTATGCCTCAGTGATTTTTAAAACTGCTCCTTTAATGTATATGTATAATGTTCTTACCTGCTTTGAATGTTATTATAAGTGACTTGTATTAAATAGTGGTGTGTTGTTCCATATTCCATAAGAAAGTTTCATTTAAAAAGTTTTGTATGTGTCACTGATGTACAAGTTGTTCCAGCAAGCATCTTTTGTACTGTATTTGCTATTTGCTCCATGTAAAAAATTTCTTCCTCCTTGTTGGCATATATGTTCCAATATAGATACTCTGCTTGTTGTAATCCCTCTTATTAGCCTCTCTTGCACTCAGGGATATATTTGTTTGTGGCCACCTTAACTGACCTGCAGCCATATCTACTAGAATTGCCCCATCGTAGTGAGAAAAAACAAACTCACTCAAATTCCCAAATCTTTAGACTCTTGGCAGAGTTCCTAGTCCCCTATTGTATCAAACATCTATCTAGATACCATGTGGATAATCCATGGGCTCTATGGGCCTGTTCCATTCTCTGTCTTGAGGAATTTTGCTCATTTTTATTTTATTGCTGTTTGCTGTGCAAATAAACTGGTGAGCTGTCAGCAGGGCTTAAGAAGAAAGGCCACTATTCTCAGGGCTGACTAGATGCCTTGGAAGGAAGACTTTAATGTCACCTTCAATGATGTACATTCAGTCAAGAACACTGGGGGCAGGCTTGTGTTTGTGTGAGTGCCTCTTGTTGTGGGGGGAAGGTGTATGTTCACCTGGGTGTTAAGGGTCTTGGCCTCTAACCAACCACTGGATATAGCTGTTGGGGGGGGGACAGTTACCCATCTGTTATATCATGGGCAGTCAACATTTCTTTTGGGCTTCTTTCCTCTTAATTCAATATCCTAGTATGTAGTATTTGCTTGTATTGTATTGAAGACCACATCTGGTTATTCTGCTCTTAATTTTGTAGTGATGTTCTACAGTCAGCACTGAGTTACAAATAATTCTACAGTTTCTAGTAGTGATGTTACTGAAATCAGTGAACCATTTTTTTAAACACAAAAATGTTTGTTGATGAAAACATTGTTGTACTTTAGGAATTGGTTAAATATAAAATCACCTCTTTTGGGGAGATGAAAAACGATATTAGTACTTTGAATCTTATGTTATATATATGTCCACATTTTGTTTGTATCATTAAGCTAATGAAACTTTGCTGCACAGACCAAGAGAAACTTCCCTGCAGAGTTTTTTTAATTAACTCAAATCTCTATCAGTACATGATGTTTCTTTTTCTTTTTTCCATATCATATAGCAGTGTATGTGCTGTGGTATTGTCTGTGGCTTCATAAGCCACTGGCCAAAATTATGTTTCTAAGTGAAATTACAACTTTTTGTTAATGTCTCCATGGTAAATGAAGCATCCCTGTCACAATTTAGGGGTCCATGTGGGCACATTCTGAGCCATTATGTGTATGTAGCTCGGAGAAGTGCAGTAGGATAGTTTGTTTACTACGGAGGAACACACCAGAAGTTGTTATTTTGCTTATACTAAGCAGCAAGATGTGGGCCATGGTTTATGAAGCTGTCAAAGTTATTGTGGTTGGCAAACAATGGTTAGTTGAAAATAGGAGCTGATGACCAGAATCCTGCTGGGGATTTATACCAGTGTAAGTGTAATTGTATAAACTGTGGTGGCAAATTGCTGTTGATAAAGGAATTGCAGTTTGGAATTTGACACAACTCCGGGAGGCAGTGGAAGATAGGAGGGCCTGGTGTGCTCTGGTCCATGGGGTCACGAAGAGTCGGAAACGACTAAACGACTAAACAACAACGACGATTCATGTGCCAAATCCTGTGCCTAATGAGTGACAGTTTGTCATTGCAGTTTACACAGTTGCACTTACACCAGCATAAATCCCCAATAGGATTCTAGCCAGTATTTTAGATCTTGTCCCTATGGCAGGCAGCCCAGAACTAGCACAGTGTAACACTACACTGTGGCTTTATGTGATAAGTTAATCATTAAATAGCATTTCACAAATTTTGCTTCTCATTGTATACATCAGATTATAATTACTTGTGTTTTGTGCTAATGTTTAGAATGTCTATTTTTCCCCCTGATTCTTTGATTTTAATGTCTTCTTTTATCCTTTGCAGCAAAATCAAATAACCCTGTAATATCTTCCCTAGGAGTCTTCATAAATCTTGAGTGTCTTTGGCATGTTCTGAGACAGTTTATGATAATTAATGCACTGTTGTCTTACTGATAGGACAAATACAACAAATTTGCCATTAATTTTCAACAATTGTGTTGTCCTTTATTAGTGCTTTTTCCTGTCATCAGGATTCTAGGCTTTTTACATGTATTTTTCTGAAAGAAACATGTTCTTTATTGGTTTGACATTTAAGCCTTCTTCAGTTTTTAGCTAAGCATCTGGAGTCCACATGATGTGAGGGGAATATGCTAGCCCTGCCCCCTCCATCATCTCTTTCTAAAGGCAAAAGTCACACTGTGAAGAGGGGAATTTTGCTATATCTGTGTAGCCTCCTCATGTAAGCCATGTGTGGAAGCTACACTTGTACAGCAGCCTCCCTGTATTCAGACTGTCACTTTCAGGTGCTGAAAGAGAGAGGTGGACCTATAATGGGTAAGCTCTGCACACTTAGGTAACAGCTGGATAGATTGTGTTTCTGCTTCTGAATGGTGGTCCTGGGTTGAAAGTGAGTTGTTTTCTGTATTTGTATTTTGCAGAATCATAGAACTGTAGAGCCGGAAGGGACCCTAAGAGTTGTAGTTGACAAAGAAGAAAGTAACTTTTACTATTAAAATAATTTACTGCTAAAATAGTTTACCATTATTTAAGTAATGCTAGTTGTAACTTTGTGTGGTACTGCTCTGTTCTAATCTTGAAGACTGCAAGTAAGAGGCTGTGCTTAAAATGTACTGTACTTTGCTTTGAGAGGCATTAGCCAAAATGCTTTTGCTTAGTATAATAAATCACACTAGAGTAGTCCCATTGGGTATGTGGTGATTAAAACCTGTAAGTTCCATTGATTTTAAATGGGCCTATCGCACTAAATTGGGTGGTGTGCAAATTACTGAAATAAACAAACAAATACAGTACTCTAGTACTCTGTTGATTGAAATAGGCCTAATCTAGTAGACCTATTTGCCATTGTTTGTCACACACAGTTGTATGTGTTTTGCTCATAATCTTACTCATTTGCTATTAAATTTCAGTGTTACTCTTGTGCATTCTGCTGGATTAAAATGTCAAGTAAATAGAATGTTAATTAGAAATCAGGGTAACAGTACATATTCTAGTGACATAATTTGGTGTACTCGTATTGAAGGTAGGAAGTTGATGAATGTTTTGAAATCAGGACTTGACATATGTGATTAAAGAGTGTAAAAGAAAAAAAAAAAGAGACCCCCAGCAAAATGTTCAATGTAATATAAACCAGTCATGTAAAGTAGGGGGCAGTTGTCTGTGTTCTCTCTTCTGACTGCTGGAGATTTAGCTTCCTCTCTGCTTACTGAAGTTTGAAATCAGGAAAGGAGGTGTGATAGATAACTGCTGCACTTCTGTTTTATGGAGTAAATAGGCTAATATCAATTAAACAATCTTTATTTACAATCAGACCAGCAAAACACATAAAGGGCTAATATTTACTAAATGTGGTATGGAAAGGGAATCATGTAAGCATCATCATGGCCCACAATTTCGGTGACTTCTCAGTTTTGTAACCAGTTGCATGGTTGATCTTGCAACTGATGTGAGAATGGGCACATGACAAGGAACCTGTAGAAGAGAGAAGTGGGCGGGGAGGAGACTTATCACTTTCTTTCTACTCCACATTTAGGCAACAGGATATTGAGCATGGCTAGCATTCTTCCAGCCTGGTAGCTCATTAAAAATAGAATGAAATAGCTGTTTATTGCTTCTGTAGGGCTGATTAGTGTTAAACGGAGCAGTACTTTAGGGGATATATTATGTAATGACTCTTGTGGAACATGATTGCTTTGTTTTGTGGGCTAATTATTAGTTGCTACAATTGAGTACTAGTTTTGTGTGGAGGTCAAAGGCTAAAATGAAGGGTGGTTTATGGTCTGAGCAGGGCAAAAAGCTTGTCCTGAAATTGTGGGGGAGGTATAACCAGTCATGAACCATATGCTGCCCTGGTTTAAAATATTTCTAGTAGTTATAACATCACCTGACTATCAAGAGGTGTTATGAGATGTACAGTACTTGCTTTAAAAGCAGATCCTTATCTTATTATATTTAAATGAGCAGTACGAAGACCTTTAAGACGTTTCTTCTAAATATAGATATATGTTAACTGTCAAAACTGTTTTGATGGTATAAACAAGATAGTACAAATGAGTAATGTATGTATTAGACTTTAATCAGTTTCTATAACAAATACATGTTACTTAAGGTTAGATTGTGTTTTTATGAAAAATTTTCAGGATTGTAATGTTATTCTGCTTCTGAAAGACAGTGGAGGAAATGTATGGCTGCTATACTGGAGCTATATTGCCTTTAGCCACCAAAACAATAATTTCAGAACCCATGATATAGCAATATGGTGGAATCCTAATGCTTATTTAATTAAAAAAACATTTTAAGGGACATAAATATTGTAATGATGACTATCAACATCAAACTGGTAAACTGGAGCTCACTATAAAAAATTTGATTTTAGAAAAACTGTACTAAACCGTGGCTGAAATCTGGTAATGTAAAGTTACATGACATCATGTAAGTCTCATGATGTCAACAGCTGTGGCCATGTTTTATTAATAAAAGGTTTCCTATTCCCTGCCCCCATGGTTTCTAGGTGCCCTTAGGATCCCTTTAGTTCTGAGGAAGCCTTTAGAGACAGCAGGATGAGGGAGAGCCTTCAGTGTCTGAAAATCACTGCTGTCTGTCTGGCTATGGCAGCTGGGACCACCAGCAGTGATTTTCAGGCATTTAATATTCTTCCACCTATTCCCACTGTCCTCAAAGGCTTTCCCAGGACCAAATGGAACCTAAGGGCACCTAAAAACCTTTGTGGGTGGGGAGGATACTTTATTAACAAAATATGGTTGCAGGTGATAACATCACCCGTAACTTTATGTTCTTTGATTTCAATTATATTTTTGTAATTTTTATTGGTTTGGAGCCAGAGAAGTGAATCCAGTTTTGATCATTGGTATATTCTGTCTCTTTCTCCCTCTTTCATTGCTTGTTTTATATTCCTGATGTGAAACAAATACAGTAAACAGACATAGCTTGATTATGGCCAGTTGGGCTAATGCACAGTAGATACTTTTAAAATCAGTTTAAAATGTTTCTTTTGATTGTCCCTTAATTATTATTTCTTCAAAATTAAATGCTTGTGCTAAAAGACCTTCATTTGTAAATGGAGGGAATTATCTCCCGCTTTGTTCTTTGTCTTTGAGCTTTGTCTTTTAATGTTTGATAAAATGGCCTAACTCTACATTTACGGTAATGCACTAGCTGTGGATGGTTTTCACAACTTTACTTTTGCTGTGACTCTAACATCTATATTCAGTGTAAGACAGTGGAGGAAGCTACTGTAATGCCAAAGTGACTAAATTAAGAGTTGCTAGTGACAGCATTTGAGAAATCCTGTGCTACATAATTACTTTAATACCACTTGTCTGCTTGTTTGGAAGGAAGAATTAGCAACTAATATACTGAAGGTCTCATCTAGCAGCGTATGGTATAGGATTTGATTTAACTCATTATTTTGTCTTGAAACAATGTTTTAATGGGGTTTAGGGAAAGTGTGATGTTCAGATGAGCATAGAAACGTTTGCTCAAATTGGTATTAAGCTCCCAAATTATTCCCCAGAAAATACTTGCCTTTAATTGGGGAGAAAGCCCAAGTATCAAACACTGGTACAGTATTCTACTGTTGTGACCTCAATTGGCCAACATACATTGGCCTTTCTACAAACTGCTTTTGTGTATAACAGAGTCTCGTTTTGAGGGTTCAGGATCTGGCTCCTGTATTTCTCCAAATAAATTAACAGACTTTACGAGGTTTAGAAACGGGAGTTACATTTATTGCCGTGTTCAACAAGAAACTGGTGTCTGCAAAGGCATTCCAACTTTTATCTCCTTCCAACAACTGGTCAGGAAGGGGTTTCCAAGCTCCTCCTTTAAAGGGGTTCCCCCCCAACCGACTTCCAAGGTCTGGGCCAGTACATAGTCAAATCTGTATTAAATATCTGTCTGGGTTCTCCCTCCTGTATGGGTATGGTGTCCTCGTCTCGGGGATCCACCCAGGTGGGTTCCCTGGAGGTCTGGAAGGTCTGCCATGCTCCTGTGGGTATCCCCTCATCTGGGTCTCTCTCACCCTCCATTCTATTCTTTCCCATCTTTCTCTTTCAACCTTTTCTTTCTGTTCTCTCAATTTCCTCCTCCACTCATTTGTCTCTGTTTCACCCCAATAAGATGGTCTTGGGGTTACCTCCCTCCTTCTCCTATAGTCTGCTTCCTCCTTTGGTATACAGAGCTTCTCCCATTTTCCAGTCTATGGGTCTTGCATCCAGATCCACTCCCAACCTGGAGGCAACTCCCCTTCTCCACTTTTTATATCGGCCATTCCTGCCTGTACCTCTACCCGGGACTTTCACTCTTTTCCCGCTATTTTTCTCCCGGTTTCTTTAACCACCAAGTTTTGTACTCCTTTCTGCACTCTCTTGGTCTGTTTCTGGTAGCTCTACCTTTCAGGGAGGGAAAACTGGCAGGGTCTGCATCTTTTTTTCTATAGTGAGAGGACGAGACGGCACTCCAGTGAGAATGGCTTAGTTCTTGCCCTGGTTCTTACACCCATAAATAAGCTGATAGTGTAGCCTACAAAAATGTGCACTGGTTTGTAGCCTGCTAGTTGCTGATTTTCTTAATAGTTGGGGAGGAGGTAAAATCTAAGGATAAGTGCTTCTAATTTCTTAGGAGGCCAGTAAAACACTTGTTTTCTGCTAAGCAGACTGGTAGAAGTACAGGTTATACCATTTCAACTCTGCTAACCTGTGGAGCATCTACAGAGGAAGAAGGATCCTATTTAAGAGAGAAAGGAGCAGTTCCATAGAAATGAATCACTGTGTTATCACTTCTCAATTCCATAACATGTGCAGCCTGTTCAGATTCAAATGGTGATGCTACTGTCAAATCAATCCACTTGGTGGCAATATTTTAATTCAAAAGCCACTGAAAGTGAGCTTAAACTACAGAACAATAGTGTAAATCAGAATTGTGGGAGGACCATTTTTAATAAACTTTGAAGAAAATTTGCCTGAAGTCTTTTCTCCAATTTAAATTCATGTAAATAATGCGACTTATACACTGAACTTCATAAATGAAACTCTCTTTCAGATGGCAGAGAAATATACCCTTTTAATGGTGATGGTCTTGGGAATGTACTTAGATAGATTTCTATACCTGATTATGGGAAGTTTGTGCTTGATTAGTTTCGTGTGTTTACAATATCAAGTTTGCATTTGAATACTGTAGTTTAGTATGTTTACAACGTAAACTTGTCTTCCCATGTAATATGTAATCAGCTGATGAGTGACTATAGCAACATTTTAAACATGTGGAATTTAATGCCTGAATCCTGTTGGTAGTGCAAACTAGAGTAGACACATTGAATCAGTGGAATTTACAATGAGATTTCCATAGACTCAGCATTAGGCAGCTTATTCAGCGAGTTTGATTTATTTGGGAGTAGCAGTTAATGTAGGCTGCTGTAACCATTTGTAAAACTGTTCAGATAAAAACACAAACACCCATTTCAAAAGATACTGGATGGGAAAAAAAGAAGTGTCAAATCAATTAATACCAGATTCCCTAAACTGAGAAAGAGGAACATGTGGTCCTCCAGATGGCAACTCCCATTAGTCCTGTCCACTGTAGCCAATAGCAAGGAATGGTGAGAGTTATATTGTAGCTTCTGGAGGGTCACATGTTCCTCATCCCTGACCTAAACCAACAGTCACTTTCTCATGTATGCTATTGTAAAGTCAATTCTGGAGTTAAGACAGACTCACAAAGTTCAGTTTCTGTAAATCTGCTTGTTTGATCATCTGAAAATGACTACTACTTAACAGGCCACCAGATGAGTGAATTCCACCTCCCCCCATAAGTTGTCCCTGGAACAGTGGGGTATGTTCTAGTAACCTCCTGATTGGACTGCTGTACTTCATCATATGTTGTTTTGCCACATGTGAAGATGATCTGGAAGCTTTAGGTGATGCAGGATGTGCCGATTAGAGTTGTAACTAGGCAGAATCATATTACAGTACAGTACACTATTTCTGAAGGATCTGCACTTTGCTTCCAAACCCTATTCAAAGTAGTGACTATGACATAAACATATTGAAATTCAAATATTTGCCAGAGCACAGCTCCTGATATTATCATGTCCATGACTTTACCTGACAAGGGGACACTTGGTCCAGAGTACATGTCCACAATGGAGAGAAACCTCTCAGTTGTGACACCCAAAATATGCATAACTCCTCCCATTGAGGTAGGACTGGAATCAATTCTGTAAGAAAACACATTAAAACACCTATTCTCAGTGGATGCCTGGGATAAACTTCAGTCAAATTGCAAGGAAAGAATTAAAATATTGTTGGATTAACTCTTTAGAAAACCTCTTATCTCCCTCATTTTAATAAATGCTACTAACAAAATACCATGTACTGAAATTTGTGGTGGTGCACGGTCAAAAAACATGTTTCTTTTTCTTTTGAAAGTCTGTTTTCTTCCTAGTTTCTTATGCCACATACTAAAAGATTAAATTCTGAAATTGTACTCTTTTTTTAAGGTTGAAACAAAGCATGGGGGTTTCTTTTCATGGATTTTCCTGTTTATTTTGCCCAACTTTGAACTACAAAGGAGGTCAGGTATTACCAGTTATATTACGTAGAAGGACCGGTTTAATGACTCAAATGTGAGATTAACTGAATGAATAACTGGTGACCTTGAAATAGGTACAAAGGGAAAGACAGGAAAAACAGACAGAATCAAAAAGCATTTCCTCTGTATTTCTTTTTCCTGACTTATGAAATCAAAATTTTGATACATATTTTTGAATCATGTTAAGTCTTTTTGCCTACACAGTAAAAAATAAGATCCAGAAAAAAACTACTCATATCTGTTTAAAATATTTAAAAATCTATTTAGAGGATGTTGATCTGAAAAGAAACAATGTACATATGTTGTTTACTTTTACTGCCATAATCTTGCTATGCAGATCTGTTCTCTACATCTACCAGTTCAAGCACTTTAAAAAAGCCCCCGTTAATTTGCCTGCACAGACAGATCTTTGAGGTGTACCAACAAAATGAGCTGTATGGTATTGAAGAGTCTAGATACCACTAATAACAGGCTGATATAACTCCTCTAAAGAAGGAGATAGAAAAACAGTAGAACCAGAAGGGTAGGAATTGGCTGGGTCCAGGCTTCCTCACACCCTGATCTTGAACCTTGCAATGATATGTTTTGTCATCTGTTTTGACAGTGTAAGTCAAAACACTTCCCTTTAATTTGATCGAGAGAGCCACAACACATAGCTCCTCTTTTTCTGCTCTGCTCATATGGCTGCAAGGGAGCATCATAGTTCAACTTCTCTGTAATAATATAGAGCAATATATAAATCTGTGCCATAGAGTCTTGACTCATATGTTAGGGTGTACAAAATAGGGTTTTATATCCCTGATTTCATATGGTGCATATTGAAGACATACAGTGGGAACTTTGCTGATGGTAAAAGGCCATTTGGAATAAAATGCAGCACTATGCACAGACTGGACTCGGAAAAAATACAGAAAGAACAGATTACTACCACTTTTCTTCTCAGAACTATTGCAGGTATTATGCTGCAGTACTCCAGACACCTAACAGAATCTTCTATTCAAAATCTCAAATTTGGGATGCCAAATGAAAACACAGGTGGGCAAAAAAGTATGTTTGTGGGAGTGCTTGAAGTTAGGACAGTTGCAAATGTCTTTCAAACTCTCATCCCTGGTATTGTCAACTGCATACTGGTTGAACTGCTTTAAGTAATCTGTCACTTCTCTACAGCTATTAACACTGTTTTTTGCACTTTAGAGAAAGTACATGGGGAGAGAACCTGGGGGCTATATAATATCACATAGTGGTAAGCTGGTTTTGTCCCAGGGCTGCCTCAGTCATGAGACAGCAGGTTTTGGGAATATAAGATAAGGACATTATGAAAATATCTAGGAAGCAGCACACTCCTTATTTGTTACTACTGCTCATTTAAGTTCATAGACTGTTCTATGAACTTAAATGAGCAATAGTAACAAATAAGGAGTGTGCTACTTCCTAGATATTCTAATATCTAGGATATTCTATGATACCAATAGAAGTGACTGAACAGGAGTGGAGAAGCTCCAGTACAGAGACCTGCTTATTGGGGAGAGACAGCAGAGAGAAAAGCGAGAAAGAAAGAGAGAGAGAGAATGGCAGGAATGAGAAGCTAGAAATAGGGAGAACAAAGCATCGCCCACTTGCTTGGGACTTAAAAAGTGTTAACCCGTTTGAGAACAGTTCATGGACACCCTTGCATGCTACATTTCAGCCGCAAGAGACGTTTGAAGTTAAACATGTTGATGTTCCGATACCAGTTCCAAAGTTAATAAATACAGAACAGTGGTTTGACTGAAAACCGTCTCCTGGTTTATTGGGAGAGAACCTTCACCCATATCTCCCAGCATTGCCACATATGGGCTTTTTAGTATTTTAAAGATCTTATTTGCAGACATTGTGTGTCTGAAATACTGCCAATGTGAGTGCCTTTTAAGAGGGAAAATCCATGGCAGTCTTTCATTGCAGGTTCTACTTGTGCCCATCTTTAACACATCAGGAAAAAAAGATAATATATTCTTTTTACTTGCATACTTTTGTTATAAATGTACAGTACACAACACAACCAGCAACAGAATCTCTTACCTTATTCTCATTAACACATGTTCTTCCTTGACAGCTAAAAGAGAAATTGAGTAAAGGAAGGTTGTCAGAGAGGGGTTTAATTAATGAGAGAGAGATCAGCTTAGAGGTTTGTGTGTTGCAACAAATAAATATGAAATAATTGTTCAGGTTTCAAGACTGACACTTTTACTTGTATGCTAAGCTCCTGTATTCTTTTTATGTACTGCTTAGTCGTAGAAAAGAGAGATCTCCAGTGTATAAAAGTGTCAATTTTGGACACCAGTGAAGTTTTTTTAACCCATAAAGTAACTTTTTAGAGAGCTTGCATAAGCAAATAATAGAACCCATAACTAAATAAAGTAAAATTATTTAGACCTTTACAAATCAGGATTAATATAATTCTCCTTTCAGATGAAAATCAGGAATCTTTGGCTAACTCTATATATACATAAAATGCTAATTTGTGGGCTACCACACCTTTAGCACCTCAACACTTCTTGATGTCACAATATCTGCAACAAACAAAGGGATGATGCGTAAGTAAGTCCTCAGACAAAATATGTAAGATTCACATGGAAGAATCCACAGAGTTATAGAGTAATGAGAAGAAAGATAGATGGAAAGGGGAAGGAAGACAGAAGGGAGAAATGGATGGGGAGAAGGGCTCCCACAGCAATATGGAAGCACCGTTGGTCCTCAGAGCCCAAGAAACATGGACAATTCACAAAGGAGCTCTGCAGTCCTCAATATTATCTTAGGTAAAAGTGTTTTTCCTGTTTAATTTGATTCTTAAGTGTGTCACATTAGATACTAGGGATCAAACAGTCTCAAACTTTTCTAAAGATTAATTTCACCTCTATATGGACATATTTTCTAGATCTGGGAAAAATATATTGGATACTGATTTAATTGCCTTTATTTAAAGATGTACATGCTAGTTTTTCAAAAGGAGAGTAACATTGTGAATGTTGGGATGCTTAATGTTTACATGTGAATGTTCAGAGCCATGGTGATACACACAAACATATATTAGTCGCTTGTAGGTATGTGTGATTGAGCAATCAAATATCCAAATGCTAAAATATTTTTATCCTTTTAGCCACAATATTTTCCAAAATATAATTAAAAACTTCCTGGGACAGTTGAAGGGACCATTCAATTTAGCAATGTTTCCAACTGAGAATTATTTTCAAGAGATGACCAAGCTATGTACTGTAGATGGTTTATATCTTCAGCTGTGACTCAAGAAGTGATTCCATTTACGGTACTTCTGAACCAGACTTTTCTCAATGATTATTAAAATAATTTCCCATAGCTAAACATTTCTGATTGATTTTTATGGTAAAGCTTTTGGCAAAGCAGTGCTATTAAGAACTAGGCCAACAACCAAAATCCTTTTGGTATTCATGTTGCCCTGGTGCCTCCTCAGTTAGCCACAGCAAGTTGCACAAGTGTTACATGAACACCAGCAAGATTTTTATCAGTATAATCCTGATACAGTACTTGGACTTTTGTTTATGGCCCTTTCTCTTGCTGTGTTGGGTTATTAATGTGAATGTATATTATCTGTTACAGAAGAAATATCAGTGTTGACTTGTCCCTTAGGTACTATTGCAAAAGCAGTAAACATAAAAGGACTTGTTTTGTTGGGTTGGATGCTCTTGATTTTCATTCAGCTGTGTGAGTTTACTGTATGTGTAGTATCACATGCTGAAGAAACAGCTAAAACAAAACAAAGAAACATAATTCATCTTTAATATCAAGCAATTCCAGTGGAAAAACAAAGTACTGTATTTGAGAAAGTGGGTTTATTCTCTGCAGTAGTATAGACTGTAAGAATTCTGCTGAAATAATTTCCCCCAAGATGGTCCATATTGCTTTCTGTAGTAATATTATATAGTTTTTGAATATTTAATTTAAAATATAATGAGCAAATGAATGGATGGTAAGGATGGATTTCTGGAGATTGTCTTTGAGTACCATCACTTGCTATGTATTGCTATCAGGTCTTTAATTGTTTTCAGTGCTCTTGAATTAAATTACTATATCCTGTATTAAACTGCATATATAACTGTACAGTATTGTGCTTTTTAAAACTCAAAGTTTGCTGCTTATACACGATCCCATAGTGCTTAAAGCATTCTTGGGGTAGTTTACAAGTATGCAGAGTACGAACTGCCCTCCAGCAATGTGGGTACTCAATTTACTGACCTTGGAAGGATGGAAGAGTGAGTCAACCTTGAGCTGGCTATCTGGGATTGAACTCAGGTCATGAACAGAATCTTGGCTGCAGTAGTGCACAAGGGTCCTCAGTCATCTTTCAGATCCTCCTCTTATCTTTCTCTTCCACTTTAGTTTGAAAAATAATTAATGGTGCATTGTAATATTATGTGTTGTAATCTTGCATTTTTTCAATCATACATAGTATCTCAATGAAGGATCTGGATATGTTGAATGTGCTTCATTCTCTTCTGGTAAATACCCTGCCCCCAAATACTACAATGCATTGATAGAATGGTGAGCTTAAATGCTAACAATGTTTGCATCATTGGAGATGTGAGGGACTTTTCTAATGTTTATAGAGCTAAGCAGTAGCAGCGTTAGCCATATTTTAAATTAGGAAAATTGGATAGTAAAGAAACATATAAATGGAGGAAGCAGCACATACAACTGGGAATCACAAATGTATAGTTTTTTCTCCTCATAATATATTTTGAAGTTTTGTAAGTTGAAGTGAGAAAATGAGTTCCCTGATCAGCTTTCATACACATGACCTCCAGATATTAGAAGTGAATAAAAATATCAGTATTTCTCTGCTTAATGATGAATCATCAAAAGTTTCTTGCTCATAACAGTTTTCTTATGTACAACAACTATTAAATAGCTCCAGTAATCCAAGTACAGGAAAATTGCCAGTACATTTTTTAAATATATAAACTATTTGCTTTAGAAAGCAGTTCGTAGATATGAGACAGTATTATTTTGTACAAAACTGGGGAGCTCCCACCTGGTGCTGCTGCAAACTTGCCTGGGTTTTTTTCGGGGGGGGTGGTTAAAATGTATGTTTGTGATGGAAACACAGTGACTTAATGGCTCATTTTTTGCAATATTATTCTATTATTTAAACTTGACAATTTTCTCTTTTGCATTGTAATCATATACCTGATGATATCGCACTGACCTGTCCATGGACTATTTTGCAGATGATCACACTAGGTATTGGCAAAATTCTTTTCCTTTTGGGTTGGTTAGGGTTTTTATCCCTCAGGCTTTTAGTTTGAAATGTTAATTTCCTGAACAAGAATATATATTTTCTTTAAAAATGTATATTTTCTTAAAAATATATGATGAAGGATAGAGTCATTATATATAAATTTTTTAAAGCATTGGAATATTTAGAATTTTGGTATAAAAATGGCTAGATCTCTAAACTTATCAACAGTCATCTATGCCTTAGTTAAATTATGTTTTGACTACTGCAATGCTAGCCTTGTAGAGAGTACAGGATTGTCAGTTGGTGCAGTATGCAGCAACGAGGTTGCTAACTCATGCTCAGTTCTTCAGTCTTTTGACTCTGATATAGAAATGACTGCATTGGTTGTCAGTAGATTATGAGGCCTAATTTAGGGTGTTGGTTTCAGCCTTTAAAACCCTAAATGGTTGGATCCTGGTTAGAGATGGGCGTGAAGTAAAAAATGAATCAGAAATTTCATTGAAAATTGCAAATTCATCAGTTTCTGTTCATCAAACATGACTACCCCAATGAATATGAATGGATGAATTTTTAGCCATTTTTGAGTCGTCAATTTAATATATTTTTAGAGAGGCACCTAGAGACCCCCCTTCCAACTGCCCACCTTCCTATGTTTTGCTGCTGCCACCTCCTCTACTACTGCTGCCATCTTGATATATATGTAGAGAGCGGTGGCCAGGCTGGCTCCCAGCTGACTTTCTCTGCGCATCCGCCCACCCTTCAGCTGAGAGGCAGGTGCATGTGCAGAGGCAGCTGGCCTTCAGGAGCCAGCCAGGCTGCCTTTCAAGTTGGCAGCAGTGGTGGCAAAAGATAGGGAGGCGACGGGGCAGTGAGCAGTGGGCAGTGGGTGTCTCTAGCTGCCTGGGTGGCCCTTTATAGGGCCAACATACTGATTCATGGTAAGTTTGGGAAATAAGATCCTAAATTCATGGTTTGTCAGTTTCACCAAACCACGATGAACCACCATTTTGCTGACTCACACTCATCTCTAATCCTGGCTATCTAATAAACTGCCTGTTTTGTTATGATCGTTTTGGCATGGCATGCTAAGATCTCAGGAGAGAACCTCTTAAGGATGTCAACAGTTGCAGGTGCATGGAAGAGGGCTTTCTCCTGTGTGGCTCCTAGACGGTAGTGTGCACTCCCGGCTAGAGATGTAAAATTTCAAAAAATTCAATTTTTTTCTAGAAAAAAATGGAAATTTTCAGAAAATTTACATCTCTAGAGAGAACGTAAATACATGAAGTCTCAGAAGTCTTTCATTAAGGTCTTCATATTATATAGTTTGAACGCCATATTGTTTATCATTGTAAGATAACATATTCTACACTTTTTTTCTGGAAAAAAAAGCTTTGGAAAAATTGGGGAAAAGTCTGTTCTCCCCCCCCCCATTTTTTATGTTTTTTCCCCCAGGCCTTTCCATCTCTACTCCCTTAAGAATTGTGATCAGTTTTCACCCATGTTTTGAAACTGGCATAATCTGCTCTGCTGTGCTGTTTTTAAATGCACACTTAGTTTGGGTTTAATTTACTTTAATGATTGTGTGGTTAAATTTGGTTTTATTTGTTTTTATTCTTCAATTAGGAGATTATAATCTGCTTTGAGTGCTACTTTGTAGTGGCTAGGCAGAGTATAAATTTAACAAACAAATACAAACAAATAGTATCTACATACATTACCACCGCTGCCACCACCCAGTGCAAAAAGACATAGGCTCCATTGTCAGTACTTTTGCTAATACTGGAACTTGACTTTATTGTGGTGGAAGAAAGGTTTGGTTGGTTGCCTTGTGCATTCCGTCCTGACACTTCATAGGGGTGCTGACATATCTCCACTAGCGCCTCTCTCCCCCCCACCCCCACTTAAGGCCAGCCCTCACCTGAGGAGCCTGTCACTGGGGTGGTATTATCAGTCTTCAGCTATTAGACACCCAATGCTGGTAGGATTGAGCAGTTAGAGGCTCTGGGACCCCCAAGCCATTCTTGCCTCCAGTGGTTCTGCTGGAGGTGCTCCCCCACCAGGTTGTGGTGGAGCCTGGGTGCCTAGCAATTTCCTTGGTCACCGGGGGGTTAGTGTTGGTGGCAAACTAAAAAGTGGCATGCCTCCTCTGTGATCTTGTCCCTTGCTGAAACTGGACCCTTTCTCTGGTTCACGGGTTCTCAATCATCAGTAGGCAGTTCTCAATGAAGGT